TACTTACTACGTACTAATAACTACACACACACANACAGTATATATATATATATATATATATATATATATATATATATACTATGTATACATATATATATATACACACACACACACACACACACAATATATATATATATATATATATATATAAATATATATAGATATAGATAGATATATAGATATATAGATATATAGATATATAGATATATAGATATATATATAAGCATACCCGAATTGAAGTTTATATGCACATATATTGAAACCTAAAATATGTATTTTTGCTCGTTCGTAGCCTGGGTTCATTCCTTTACCATGACTTTAACAAATTCACTGAAAATGCGTTCTACGAGGCTCAAAGAACTAAACACGCATTAGAGTGGGAACGCTTACCCGCAAGTGACGGCAGTGGCCGCGTGTGCGTGGGCTTGAATTTGTGGTGCAAGTAATGAGTGTCCCGTTTTATCTCTGACACAAACCGGAAAAAACGGCATTCTGGTCCGTAAATTCGTTCGCCCGCTGGTAAACTGAAAGGACACCAATGCAACAGTAGGTAAAGCGAGAAGAATGGGGGAAGTTGTATTGAATTCAGAGCTAGGCAAGAGCAGTATGGCATGAAATTAGTACTGGATTGCTTGATATGCCCATTGATATGCATACTGATAACAACGAATGCCTCCAATCAGAAATCAGCTCGAATTGGTATGCAACTATGAGTATGAATTCCGTCCTACACTAGTTCGGCTATGGACGCGAATATATATTCACAGGGTTTCCGGAAACAACACACTTTGAATATAAATAACACACTGCGACTATTCAATTTTTTTTGTTTTTCGCCGTGTAGTGCCTACTAGACAGCCAGCAATTCTGACTAACAATATAACCTGTTGAAACACATGTACACGCTTTCTTACGTATAGCCTATTCTGGAAGTTGTAATGGGAATTGCGTAACGTTCATACAAACCCGTGCACGACTTCAAAGCGGAGATGAATTGTGAAGCAACCCAGCATTCTATTGCGTATAAAACTCCACATACAAGTACAATAAGCCCTGGGATGGGCCTTATAGCGAGCTCGAGATTATCCCATCAACAGACAACTCATCCACCCGTCTATACATCCCCACCCACATACGAAACACACTATTGTAGCCGCGTATCAATCTGCACAATCGGGTGCGATTACAATACCTCGACTGCACGGCCCCTGCTGAGGCAGCCCGTTCTATGGCCTCCTCTCGCTGCTTCTCCCGTGCCGCCAGTTGTGCTCTCAGTGCGTGCGGGGGTATACCATAGGCCCCCCCACTGATCTGCGGCGATGGCGTAACTGTTAACAAACGTCAAGTGTTAGTGTCTCAGCTGTGATATTGCTTGTATACATGGTAACGGAATAAACGCGTTCGGAACACCCTAAGCCTCCCTATGACTATGCCTGAACGCACTAAAGAGATTCAAGTCTTATTTTCTCAGTTGTGATACTACGCAGTTGCGCAATAAGTGCCAGCGAAGGTTTATCACATGGCGTGCCGCTGATGTCCGGCGGCAGCGTGACTGTACCTGAACAAGCAAAAAGATATGAGTCACATGATATCGGATGTGATTGTGGGTAATTGGGGATAAGAGAGGGATACCATGGCTCCTCCATCAGTCTACGCCAGACAGCGCGCGACTGTGTCAGATCTGGCGTAGAAATCCAGCCATGTTGTCTCAGCTGTGGCGTTGGGACTATCTTTCGGAAATCGAAACACGTACACTCTACTCTATAGTGAGACAAAGAGAATATATTGTATGTTCTTATCTATAGTGAGACACAGAGGATATAAGGTAGGTATATATCTATAGTAAGAAACAAGGGATATACGGTAAATATATATCTATAGTGAGAAATAGGGGATATACGGTAGATATATATCTTTAGTGAGAAATAGGGGATATACGGTAGATATATATCTATAGTGAGAAATAGAGGATATACGGTAGATATATATTTATAGAGAAATAGGGGATATGCGGTAGATATATATCTATAGTGAGAAACAAGATATTTATGGTAGGTATATATCTATAGTGAGAAACAAGGGATATACGGTACATATGTATCTATAGAGAAGTAGGGGATATACGGTAGATATATATCTATAGAGAAATAGGGGATATACGGTAGGGGTATATGTGTAGTTGCAGTTCCCAAAGGAGTACATGCGAGACTCATTTGTGCGACACGATCTAGCATACGTAAACAAACAAACACCTGTCGCAGCTCTGGAACTAAAGATCTGTACAAGTTCTTTTAGGGTTTCAAGTCTTAGGATTTAGGGGTTTTTTTTATATGCATCGGTATTATGACACACCCACTCACCCTTGGAAACTGGAGCTACATCAGAGGTCGTCCTCATCAAAAACTTGTCCATGTCTTGCTGAAGGATTTTCACGCACAACAACAAGGCATTGGCTTTGACAGCGATGGCGCTAAAGTGCTCGAATTGCATAATATCTGCGAAATTGAAAGATATGGAGTAAAGGTTACGCTTGTTACTTGTAGGTTATCTGTAGTAATAACATTCATTAAGAAAACAGCGGTGATTTTAGTTTCGGACTTGCTGCAGCATTTGAACACACTACAACAAGATCCGGTTAACAGCGACAGCGTCGAAGCGTTCCTTTTACATATTTCTAAAAATATGACGAAATATAAAACGCTCATTAATCGAATTCTCGAATGGCTGCCAAGAAAATTTCATAGTACCAATCCCATTCGTGAACAAACAGCACACACTTACACATACCCGAGTACGGGCATGGCAACTGTGTACATATCGCCCGTATTCATCCATTTGAACAAGGAAATGGGAGTGTACATACGCATATCGACAAATAAATATGTGCCTGGATGAAGTTCCAGCCAGTGGTGCGAAGCAGCATCGACATGGCCACACCCATACAAATCCTCCACAGAAGAGATGAAAGTTGAAAGACGAATGCAATACGACGTGGTGTTTGTATCGTCACAATTAAAGCGCAGATATACTATTGTGTATGCTCGATACGCCATAATCACACAGAAAAGTATATGTGCTTTTAACACTATTGCTTAATCCTGGACGCACGAGTATATAAATCTGGGCCAACTGGCACCTGTCTATGCACCAGCACATTAAGTCAGCAAATAAATAAATAGCCCTGACCACAGCCAGTGGGATCACCAAAGCCACACACGCCCAACTGGCACCTGTCGAAGCACCAGCACATTAAGTCAGAAAATAAATTAATAGCCCTGTCCACAGCCAGTGGGATCACCAAAGCCACACACGGCCAGGAAGTAGAAATCGCACCTAAAATAAAATACGAATTCGCATTGATTTCGTGCGTTGAAAACATGCACTACCTGGAAATGAGCGGGGTGAGAATAATATATATATAC